GGGTTCGGGCAATTCTCCTGCCTCAACCTCCTCAGTAGCTGGGATTACAGGCACGCGCCACCATGCCCAGCTAATGTTTTTGTATTTTTAGTAGAGACGGGGTTTCCCCGTGTTGACCAGGATGGTCTCGATCTCTTGACCTCATGATCCACCTGCCTCGGCCTCCCAAAGTGCTGGGATTACAGGCTTGAGCCACCGCGCCCGGCAATATTTTATTATTTTTTGTTAAGACAGAGTCTTGCTCTGTCACCAAACTGGAGTGCAGTGACACAATCTTGGCTCACTGCAACCTCTGCCTTCCAGGTTCAAGTGATTCCCCTGCCTCAACCTCCCGAGTAGCTGGGACTACAGGTGTGTGCCACCACGCCCAGCTAATTTATTTGTATTTTAGTAGAGATGGGGTTTCACTATGTTGGCCCGGATGGTCTTGATCTCCTGATTTTGTGATCCACCTGCCTAGGCCTCTCATTGTGCTGGGACTGCAGGCATGAGCCACTGCGCCCAGCCCATTTCTACAAAAAATTTAAAAATTAGCTGGACATGGTGGTGTGTGCGTGTATTCCCAGCTACTTGGGACGCTGAGATGGGAGGATCGCCTGAGCCCAGAAGGTAGAGGCTACAGTGAGCTGTGATTGTGCCACTGGACTCCAGCCTGGGCCACAGAGCAAGACCTTGTCTCAAATAATAATAAGCAAATAAAATAAGTTTACAAATTTCAAAATACCTGACTTCTGTTGACTTTGATATTGTGATGCATTTATTGCTATACTGATAATTCTTCAATGTCTCTTCTGTTATAGGTAGAATTGGGCTATTTGCTGAAGCTTCTTGGTAGCCCTTGGTAGCCCAGGAAGACACTTAACATTTTGATTTTTTTGTACCATGGCTTTGGTTCACAAATTGCTGCATGGCACTTACATTCTCAGAAAATGCTCAAAGCCAGCTGCTGCCTTGTATCCATTTTTGGGTATTCGCTTTGCAGACTATTCCAGTAGCCTTCAGAAACCAGTGGCTTCTCCTGGCAAAGACTCCTCACAGAGGAAGACTGATGGGAGTTTGCAAGGAGATCACCAGAAAGAAGTTGCTTTGGATATAACTTCTGTTGAGGATAAGCCTGAAGTTAGTTTTGATAAAGCAATTAGAGATGAAGTAATAGACCATTTTTGGCGTTTGAAGGATGAAACTGTGGATCATTGGATAGGACCAGAAGGCCGCCCTCTCCATGAGGTCTTGCTGGAACAAGCCAAGGTTGTCTGGCAATTCCGGGGGAAAGAAGATTTGGATAAGTGGAAAGTGACTTCTGATAAGACGATTGGAGGCAGAAGTGAAGTGTTTTTGAAAATGGGCAAGAATAACCAAAGTGCATTGCTATATGGAACTCTGAGCTCTGAGGTGCCTCAGGTTGGGGAGAGTCGTCAAAGTGGGTACTGTGCAATGATATCCAGGATTCGAAGGGTAGGTGAGGCCAGGAGCCATGTTTTCTAGTGAGGTGGGCGGGGTGAACTTCATTGTAGCATAAACTATAGCAGATAGCTTTTTTTTTTTTTTTTTT